TTGGCGGTAAGGGCTAGGTTTTCTGAGAGTGACTGAGGGACATGAAGGAGTCGTTGTTTCTCCTCTTGGAAAAGAATAGAGAAAACTTTGTTGAGGGTTGGAAGAGAATCCGTGGCTAGTATCTGGGTTTGAAGAGCCGCAAATGAGTCGTTGAGACCTAGTAGAAACTGGAACACACGCTCATCCTCGGCTCTCTTTTCCAAAGTACTAGCATCAGTGGGTGATTGAAGATTGCCGAGTTTATCCCAGATTTGCTTGATGCTGTTGTAATAATCAGGAATGGAAAGTTGGTTCTGATGAAGGTTGGATATTTCTCGTTTGAGATGGAATAGGCGGGCATTGTTGCCATGGCAGAACCGTGACTCAAGGTCGAGCCATACATCACGGGGATCGTTATGGTAATCTAAGGAATTGGCTAAGGAGGGAGTGACGGTATTAAGAATCCAAGTCAGGACCATGTGTTTGGTCCTGCTCCATTGGGCATAATCAGGAGAAGTTGTGTTTGGTGCTTTGAGGGAGCCATCAACAAAGCATAATTTATTTTTTGCATTGAGGGCTCGGCGAAGTGCGCGTTGCCATTTGGGGAAATTATCTCCAGTGAGATGGCCGGTTACAAGAATTAGACTAGGGGAATGAGAAGGGTGTAGAAGATAGGGAAAAGAAGTTTGGGAAGCAGGAGCATCGGAAGTCATGAGAATTTTGGGTGAAGGTATGTCAGGATTTTTGAGGCTCTAATACCATGTAAAGAAGTAAAATGGTAGAAACAATTATCTTGTATTTCTCATTGATCAGTATGCTTTATATAGCTGTACATGAACATGGTTTACATGGAAATAAAATCATCTATACAAAATTATGGGAGATGACTAAAATCATGGGAGCTAAAGTTTAGCTAAAGTTGTGGGATTTCTATATGTTGTAATACTGAAATCATGGGAGCTACACTTGTGAGATTTCTATGTGTTGTAATACCGATTAAGCATATTGAAAGAAGGAGCTAACCCAAAACTCCAAACATCGTTGTTGCATCCCACCAACTACCCACCTGCACCACCACTGTGAACACCTCACGCCCTCAAAACTCCGACTAAGCAGGTTAGAGGAAGAACCAACCCAAAAAATAAAAAAATAAAAAATGCATATCGCCACAGTGCCCGACATCCACCACCGCCATTCGCATCATCGCACACAGATCTCCACCGCATAGATCTGCACACACACCACCTCTGACAAATACCACAAATCGATGCACCATGCACCATAGATCGATGCACCACAGATCGTCACACTACATACCACCACACGTTGGAGGAGGACATTAAATGGGAGATTAGTGTTTCAAATGGGGTTCGGCGGCATCACTGCAGATAAAGTGGTCTCCGGTGGCGACAGCGAGTATGAGTGATAGGGGGAAGAGAGGGATTGGAACAATGGGAGAACGGTTTTGGGGTTTGGATGATGGTTAGGGTATGAATATATAAATTAGTTTATAATATTATTATTGATCTTAAAAAAAAGAATTCATCTGATTTTTGAAATATCAAAATTTCAATCTGATTTTAGAATGTTGAATACTTAAAAGTATGATTTGGTGTAATTTCCACATGTTTTAAATTCTTAAAATAAAGCCCCCCTAAAAGCCCAATATCTTTATAAAGAAAAAGGTACTTCACAGTTCACGGCCAACGCCAACATGTAAAAATCGATCTTGTTACCGATCAACATGTAAATTTCGACGGATCCAGTACAGACGGTCGCACCTACTTGCTAGGTGCTGGATCCGCCAATGCTAGTGGATTGCAAGAAATGCATTTATAACATGAGAATACCGATGGTGAGATGAAAGAATTCAAGTAGTACTAAGGTTGATTAATAGCTTATTTCCAATTGAAAAAATTGTGACAGTATTGACAATATGTCTATAATAGTTGCATAACATGGAAAACTGGCAATTTCGAGGTAAAAGAGAAGTGTTGATGAAATTTTTAGTATTACATGCTAGAGCGATTTTCCAAATGGGATCCATTATAAATTATGTTCTACTTTTCCTCCACCATTGTACAATCATGTCTTCAAACATGCCCTATTTGGGGTAATAAACTTTTATAAAAGTTTATGGAACGTGTGGTTGAAATGTTGTGAATCTTATAAAATGTAAGTAAAATTAAATGTTGACTGACTTAGTATAGAATCCAGTTTTATAGCTGAATAAAACATAGGCGTAATATTCCAACACAAAACATGGGTGTAATGTTGAAAAGTTTTTTTTGAAAAAAAAATAAATTGTTTTTTCACGTGTGACTCTACAAAGGGTTAAGTCTTTTTCAATTTGTTAGGAAATTATTTAAAAGCAATTTTTGTACTTAGAAGTGTGTTAGACTAAGCTCAAAAGGTAATTTTAAATACTTTTATATGTTTTTAAAGCTTACTCAGGCATGCTCAAGTTCGAGTTTAAAAGTAATGCAAAAGTAAATAAGTATTCTATATCTTTAATATTTAAATGAGATGATTTAATGTCTCTAAAGATAGAGGTCGTAGTCCATTAGCTCGTATCCAAATCTAGTTCTCCCCATAGGATCCAATGCATCATGATTTTATTGATTTCTAACCTAATAAGAGGTGGTGGGGTCACAATATTCACACGCTCGAAGTCTTTTTGGGTGATTTGCCAATAATTACTGATTAAGTTGAGAATTTTATTTATAAAAGTCAAAATAATCAGGCAACTAGTTAAAGAGATCTTTTGTATTTAAGTTCTCAAGCGTGTTAGATATTTAACATTCTTTTTATCGATTTGCTAGAAGCAATATTTATGTATATGGCTGTCGACCTAATAATTTTATAAAGAGACTCGATTTTATTGTGAAATTCATCAAATAAAAAGTTCTTGAAAGTTGGAAGGCTTCAAAATTTCCTTTTCCCATATTTCTTTTTTATTTTTTTTATTTTGAAGCACATAAATAAGAAACAGAAAAAGGACAATTTCAAGTATTAAATTAACAAACATTACAAAAGTACGAGAATCAAAAGAAGTAGATAATGGCTTGAGTTGTATTTCACAATGTTTATAAAATCGGATCGAATCAATCGGTTCAACTAGCAAAACCAAGAATCAGGCCAAAATTCGGTCCGATAAATACTAAATTAACCGGTTAATTAAAAACCGGTAAAATAACTAGAAAACCGGTCAGTTAATTTGGGAATCGGTCACGATTTTACCAGTTTCCAAAACTTTCTTTTATAAAAAAATTTAATAAATAATAAAAATGTTATGTTAAATATGGAAACCATTTACTCACTTTTTTACCTATTGAGCTCTTTTATAGCCATTTCTTGAGTCTCATAATTTATAAACTTCTAATGTGGGATTGATAAAATTCAATAGAATACACTTTTAATTTGGGATTGACAAACTTCAATAAAGCACACGTTTTCAATATTATTTATGGACACATGGTGCATGACTATGAAATTAAATTACTCAATTTTTATAAATTGCTCAACATTTTTTTAATCTTACAAATTATTTAGTAAAATCTTACAAAGTATTCTAACAAATTAAAAACTATTAAAATTTATATTAAAAGCTTACATTTGACATATTTGTATTTACTTTGAATTGATTGAGTAAAAATTTAATTATATATTATTGTGAAAATAAAATTTAAATGTTTATAAATATTTATTTATTACCTCCGATTCAACATCGATTGAACCTTTAGACCCTTGACCATTTCTCTTTTTCGGGTCAGTGCACAGGCCGAATTTTAAAATATTAGTATTTCATGTTAGCAATATTTCGATGACAGATGCATATATAAGATCCATATATAAATATTTAAATAATCTACTTTAAAAAAAAAAAAAAAAACCCAACCATTTTTTTTATACGATTGAATAAAGAAATTTCAAATTACATAAATCTTGGCCAAGCTATACCAAGAGCATTAGCCAGAAATAAGAAGATAAATCACTCAGAGGGAAACAAAAAACCTAATCATTTTTAAAGTAGTTACTTTAGTGTAAAAATAAGTAATTTACTATTTTTTCCCAACTTTGATCACTGAAAAAACTATTTATCTATAAATTTTCTTATTAGAAAACTTTTATGTTATGTCCTGCTCAAATAATCAAATAAAGAATGTGTTTTCTCTTTACCAAGTAAACTTATAAAAAACTTATAAAGAAATATCTGTTGTACAAACATGTGCATTCATAGTAGTGTCAATTTGCCCAATGGTGAGGGTTTTGGGGTGGCCCGTCAAGTCACATTTCTCAATGGACAATCTTGTTACAACCCAAGTCAAAACTGGCCAAGGAGGTTCGACCAATCTTGGCACGACATGTTTTCATAGGACATACCCATCTAATTCCAAGTTCCTAAATTGGACACCGACAGGCACAAACAGACGCTCTTCAATATTTAAAAAAAAAGTTGAACCCCAATTTTGAGGGCTTCCATCGTTCCGCTCCTAGAATTTTGTGAGGGAAGTAAATCGCGAAATGTGCTTCAATAGGCAGTTCACTTTGCTCCTAAAGCACTTGTAGAACATGTTTGGTGTATTTTAAGTGTTTATAAATTGTGAACCCTACTAAATGTACAGATAATAAATGGATATTAATTTATAAATTATATTCTACGAAATACATGAATAAAAAATATGTCTACTAAAAAAGTTAAGCTATGAAAATCATATTCTTAATATTATTAATCCTACCACGATCAATACCACCAAGGAGACAAATAAAGATGCTCCTCATGGGGTGGCTGAATTGGTGGAGTGGGTGAATTCGGAGGCCTTTAGTCACGAATTCGATTCCTCTACCAATACTTTCTCGATTGAACATGTTGCACCGGACTTGCCAGTACGGTTTACCTGACTGACATAGTATGCAAGTTATTGCGACAGCATGAAAATTTATCCCGTGCACATCTAAAGGGTAACAGTTGTGGTTTTCTTGTCTTTAAAATAAAAAAAAAAAAAATTTGAAAACAAGCAAAAGTACGAAGCCGTCTAATTTTGTAATTTTCTGCAATGTTGGTATCATCGTCCACTTGCTTGATAAATGGGTGCCATAAACAAGTAGACTAATCAATCAACCTTTACCAGCACTTTTACAAATGTAAGAAATTTGCAGAAGTCATCACTTTTTTTCTATGTAGTAATAATAATGTCTTCTAAGTTTTCGTGACAGATTCAAAAGCTGTAATCTGTTTTGAGAACTCTGTTCCTTAGTCCCTTCAAACCTTCATTTTCCTTCCCTTTTCCTTCTGAAACTCCTTTTTCCTTTTCATCTTCCTCTCCCTTTTCCTCTTCATTTCCATTGAAAGCTGGGTGAGTTAGAATGCTGTTGAGCAGTTGAGTTCCTCTGAGTGCATTTGTCAATGGCAAGTGACCTTCAGGCGTGTTCTCATCCATTTCCCAGATGAATTCAGTAGGGAACGACCTGTAATTATATTGCTCAACTTCTGAGGATTCAAGCTTTTTCATCCAACCAAGTTTGATGAAGAATTTGGTGAAATCCCTGTTCATCTTCTCCCAAATCTTCTTCTGTACACTGTAACCAAATTTGTTGTCACTGTACTGCTTCCATAATTGGTCAATGGCTTTGAGATCAGATTTTTGAATGAACTGGACTTCGGAGAAGAAAACGTAGCCGCGTTTCTGGGCTGCTTCTCCAGCGAGGACTAAGAGGAGGCGGCGAGTTTCTTCGTCGGCTTCGCGGAAGTTTTTGGAGGATAAGTGCTGTTGAAGGGCGTCGAAGGAGACGGTTTGATTGGCAGAGGGAGTGGCGGTGGGGGTGGTGGAGGAGATGGCGAAGGTGGTGGTGTGGGAGAGAGAAGCGGTACTGGCTGTGGCCGTGGAAGTGGAAGTGGTGGTTGGTTTGCGAAAGAAAGAATAGGAAGCGGCGGTTGAAGGGGGGCAGTCTATGGAGTGTCGCCGCCGGAGTGGTGTTTTGTGGCAAACGGAATTCCAAGTGTTGGTGGCCATTAGAGAGAGAGAGAGAGGATGATCAAGAGGGCATCGTAAGGAGAGAAAAGAGTAGAGCATGAAGTATTGAACAGAAATATATGGCCGGGGGTGGGCTGGGTTGGGGGTTGATTTCTTGGATAAGAAATGAGTGAAGAGTGAAGTGAAGAGGTGATCAAGAAAAAAATAAAGCAAGAATGTAATTGGTTGCATAGGGGTGAGGCTGGATACTCTCTATCATAACCTCCATAGGGACCCCACCCTTCTTTACATTTCGAGTTAGTCATCAAAATGTGTTGGGTGGTCGACATGCGACTCGACTCGTAAGTGAACGAACATGTTCGACATGCTTGTATTAATATAATATTTATGGAGATTCTTACCTTCTCATGTCGATTTTTTTCTTTTTTCCAATTTTTGTAAATAGTAAGTTTTATCGTGCCAAACCCACAAATGACAAAATCTTAGACTCATCGAGCTAAAAGAGGATCTTGTGTTGGGCTACCTCAAAATTGATTATTTGAATTCAATTCCCTACCTAGACCGCCCATATCGACTACTTTCTTCTCAGTCTTGGTTAATTGATTCTTACTGTTGATCCCAAAAATTGGTCCTTCCACGTGACCAACTGAAAGCTACTCCACGTGTTCCTCCCTGCGCACAATCAGCGAATAGTCAGGCGCACACGGTCGGAATCAGCGGGGGCGGCGGCGGCCGTATACACTCCGACGGTCAAGTCAGGTTTAAGTGATCGGAACAGTATCCAGGGGCTATGCAAATCAACGTTAAATGGGGAGGAGAAAATATATAAACTTGCTATGGAGTGCTATGTAGTAAGAGTTTCATTACCTTTGCCTCTTACCAAACTTTGGGTATTTATAGGTGGTATGAACTGTTGGATGTGGAACGCGTGTATACATCTGACGGTATGAAGCGTCAGCTCATAGGCGTCAATCAGCCGCGTTTGTAGAGTGGGCGGACAGTTTGTTTCTTCTGAGTTGAATTGACAAAAAGTTGATAAGTCACATCAACTAGTCTCATGAGACGTCAAATCAATTTAAACCTTAGGTGCAGGACAAATCTCAGATTGGCGGCGGATATTCTAACCGGGGTCCACTTGATCTTGATCTCGGAGGCGAGATGATTGGACAGGTCAGTAGTAGGAATCACTATATCACTTCGGAGACACTTCGGAAGGGTCGTTTTCAGGTCGGAATATGTGGTGCTGTACGGGGTCCACTTGATCTCGACCTCGGAGGCGAGATGCTTCTATATCACTTCGGAGACACTTCGGAAGGGTCGTTTTCAGGTCGGAATATGTGGTGCTGCGCGGGGTCTACTTGATCTCGGCCTCGGAGGCGAGATGCTTCTATATCACTTCGGAGACATTTCAGAAGGGTCGTTTTTAGGTCGGAATATGTAGTGCTGCGAGTCCGAGGTGTGTAAGATCGGAGCGTACCAGTGGTCCCCCAAGTCTGGGGATGAATATTTATATCATGCGTGGACTTGCTTTCTTGACCGGACCGCAAGTCATGGGAGTTTTGGGGGTTGATCTGTTGCAGCAATCGAGGTTATGATAACAGGCAGACGTGCCAAAGTTTCGTTATTGTGCGTAACGTACGAGGCGGTCAACCAGCATGGAACTTCGCGTAAGGTGCATCGAAGCTTCGCGAATATGGTGCGCTGATCCCACAGACCGACGCGTTGGGAGATGGCTGAAACTTTGTAAAGCATGGGAGGTAACGCATTGTCCGAGGCGATAACCCAAAAGGGCCTTCGCGTCTGGTGTGTCCAAACTTTGTAAAGTTGGATTTGGAGCTCATCTGCCACCGGTGCGCTGACCCAAAAGGTCGACGCATTGGGAGATGGCTGAAACTTTGTAAAGCATGGGAGGAAACGCAGCGTCCGAGGCGATGATCGAAAAGGGCTTTCGCGTCAGGTGCGTCCAAGTTTTGTAAAGTTGGAGGTGGAGCTCATTTGCCACCAATGCGCTGACCCAAAAGGCCGACGCGTTGGGAGATGGCTGAAACTTTGTAAAGCATGGGAGGAAACGCAGCGTCCGAGGTGATGACCGAAAAGGGCCTTCACGTCAGGTGCGTCCAAACTTTGTAAAGTTGGAGGTGGAGCTCATTTGCCACCGGTGCGCTGACCCAAAAGGCCGACGCGTTGGGAGATGGCTGAAACTTTGTAAAGCATGGGAGGAAACACAGCGTCCGAGGTGATGACCCAAAAGGGCCTTCGCGTCAGGTGCGTCCAAGCTTTGTAAAGTTGGAGGTGGAGCTCATTTGCCACTGGTGCACTGACCCAAAAGGCCGACGCGTTGGGAGATGGCTGAAACTTTGTAAAATATGGGAGAAAACGCAGCGTCCGAGGCGATGTCCCAAAAGGGCCTTCGTGTCAGGTGCGTCCAAGCTTTGTAAAGTTGGAGGAGGAGCTCAATCCGAGGCCATTCAAACGTCAAATGATTTGACAACTATTGCGTGTTTTCAAGGTGACAGTTGGGTGCCATGCCCATTCTCCTAAAAGGCTGCTGTGGCTACTAATTATTATTGACGGCTGTTGTAACTGAGGTGACGCGTTTCAAGTAAGCGTGAAAGTCACAGCGACATCTTGGGCGTAGATCAAATCTGGCATTTCATTTCAACGGCCTAGATTGAAGATGCGATGAACGGTTTAGATTGATCGCATTTGAATTCAACGGTGGAGATCGGATTTGTTTTTTTATAAAAGGAGGACTCTGAGGTTTTCTCAGGCTTTCTACCCTTGCGAAACTAACATTATATTTTGCTCTTGAGTTATTGGCGATTTTCGGCGTTTTGTAAGCAATTCCGACGAGAAAACTAGACTTCCGGCGACCTTACACCATTTCTGACTAGAAAAACCTCCAAACCCGTAAGTTTCAGTACCTATTTAGGCTTTTAAATTTTGAAAGAATGGCCTCAAAGGGGAGTTCTGGTTTGGGGAGGGGTTTAGAAATGGTGAGGGTGGACGAGCCCATTGTGGCGACCTCCTCAGAAATAGCCGAGGCAATAATGGGGGGGGAGAATATATGGAAACGACCGGATAGTCCACCAGATACCTCTGTGCATTGGGAGGCGTCGAACTACCCATCAAAATTAAGGGAGGCCGACCTGGGGAGACTTAGGACAGAGTATAGGATCCTGATAGCGTAGATTTGATCCTCCCCGGGCCGGAAGAGAGAGCCTGCTACCCTAGGCCGGGCTGTGTGGCCATTAGTGAGGCGATCCTTAGGGCCAGACTTAGGCTGCCCGTTCACCCATTCTTTAGGATGGTGCTTAGGTCCTATGGGCTAGCCCCGACGCAGCTTAATCCTAACTCCTGGAACCAGATGGTGGGCTCCTGGATGTTGTAGAAAGAGGCATCATTACGGGTGGAGATGCCCCTTTCCGTTTTCCAAACCCTTTATATTCCTAAGGTTACTGCTGGGGGGGATAAGACCCAGGGATGGTATTATCTTACGTCATGGGGTTCCCACACTTCATTCGTGGTCGATCTGTCGAGTTCCATCAAAGAATGGAAGAGCTCATGGTGCTGGGCAGCAGGGCGATGGGACACGATGGAGGGGGACCTCCTGGCGCCTCTTACGATTCCAACGAAGTATTCAACACTTAGTGAGTATAGTAGTAGTTGCTCCTTATATTTCTCTTCGGTTCGAATTGTGTCTAACAGTTTCATTTCCTTGTAGGTGCTCTTCCTCGGTGCAAGCTGTCAACCGAGGACTTTGACACCATTTTGTGTCATTTATCAGCTGCCTCAAAAGAAGAGGTCCTACCACAGGCTGATCCGAAAGAACATTCATTTTGTTACTCATGATTTAATGGCATCCCAAGGTAACTGGATCGAAGTCTTTACTTTTTATTCCGAGCTCCCAAGACTTGTATTAATTCCTTATTTGCTTCTTTGCAGACAACTTTAATAAGAAGCTGTCAGTGCGCCCCGACTTCAAAACCATCCAGAAGATGATGGCAGAGGCACGGGCGTTGAAGGCCTCCTCCTCCTCGTACAAAAAGCAAATGGAGGAGTTGGTGGACGCCAGTAAGAGGCTCCAGCCCCCGACGGAGGAGGAAGTACCGGAGGACCTGGAGGCTGACTTTCGAAGGAAGGGCAAGAAGAGTGCCGCCCCTCCAAGACGCCCAACTGTGGCGAGACCATCCCTAGCTTTGAGGCAGACGGCAATTCCCACGGGGGTGGCCCTCCCAGAGAGAAGGCCCGCTCCAACTGAACCCGTTACTGCCCCGGGCACAACGCCCCTCGCTGCCGTGCCAATTGATCAAGCGCCGGGGTAGCAGAAGAGAAAAAGGCCCCGTCCCTCTAAGGAGGTCGACTTTCTGGGCACCAATCCTGAAGAGCCCGTAAGGAAAGTGTTGGAGGCTCTTCCTCTCGAAACAGCTGCAGTGGTGGTGGTCCACAATAAATACTGGACGGAGGAGTGGAGGGACCACACCGCCTCCTGCACAGCTGAGGATTTGGTGGCCGCGAATAGCGCCTGTGTGGCTCGGGCCCTGAGCACAAGCATCCAGCTTGAGGGCTTGGTGAAGGATCTAAACTCTAAGAGGGAGGATCTCGCCAAGCGCCTCGAGGAGGCGATGCATTACGGGGATGCCGTGCGGGCGGCTTAGGCCAAAGCTACGCAGGCAGAGGAGGGGAAGAAAGATGCTGAGGCCCAGCTTACTGCCGCGAAAGTAGAAGTGGAACGGCTGAAGAAGGAGCTGTATGAGGTGGAATGCCAAGTGGCTGTTGTGACTCGGCGACTTGATCACGCCGATGAGGACCACAAGCTCGCCACCGATGCTCTGGAGGCCTCCAACAAAGAAAAGGCAGAGCTGAGGCAAAAGGCAGAGGCCCAATCAGGAGAGATTGCCTCTTTGAAAGAGGAGTTGAAGTCTCCCTTCTGAGGCCATTCTTTCAAAATTTAAAAGCCTAAATAGGTACTGAAACTTACGGGTTTGGAGATTTTTCTAGCCAGAAATGGTGTAAGGTCGCCGGAAGTCTAGTTTTCTCGTCGGAATTACTTACAAAACGTCGAAAATCGCCAATAACTCGAGAGCAAAAAATATTGTTAGTTTCGCAAGGGTAGAAAGCCTGAGAAAACCTCAGAGTCCTTCTTTTATAGAAAAACAAATCTGATCTCCACCGTTGAATTCAAATGCAATCAATCTAAGCCATTCATCGCATCTTCAATCTAGGCCGTTGAAATGAAACGCCAGATTTAATCTACGCCCAAGATGTCGCTGTGACTTTCACGCTTACTT